AAAACGCAGGTTATTTATTGTACCAAAAAACGCGACCCCCCAGCAGAGGCTTCTGTAAACGGCAATCGTGTACCATGGACAAATTCTGCCAAGTACCTCGGTATCATCCTTGATAAAGGCATGGCCTGGCAGAAACATACAACATCCATAACAAAAAAATTCCAAATTGCGTTTTGGCAACTATATCCTTTGTTATGTAGATCCTCCAAATTGAGTTTGATAAACAAAGTTCGCCTATATAAAATGATTATCTGGACAACAAATTTTAGTTTTTTAATTGTATCTTGTGGAAAAAGTGCAGTTCTTTGTTAATTTTGGGGCGCTGAATCCAAAAATGACAATGAAATAAAAAAAATTAGTTGCGGTTTAGAAAAAAACTTTTTATTTTTAAGGATATATTAAAAAAAGTAACAAGATTCATATACTTATAAGAATCACTATATGCGCTGTCTTTTTGCTGTTCTTTTATGGATCGTTTCTGGAGCATCTCTACCAAGAGTCCAACAGTAGTCTGCAAGCATGGAAGGATTCCACTTTCCCTGGTACCTTTTTTCCATTGTTGAAATATCCTGATGAAAACGTTCGCCGTGCTCATCACTTACGGCTCCGAAATTGTCAGGAAAAAAGTCCAGGTGTGAGTGTAGGAAATGTATCTTAAGAGACATATTACAGCCCATCTTTTGATACGATGACAGCATATTTTTGACAAGGGTTTTATAGTTGTCAGCTTTTCTATTTCCCAAGTAATTAGTGACCACCAGACGGAAATCATTCCAAGCAGTGTTTTCAAAACCTGTTAAAGTGTTTTCAAACTGTGTATCTTTCAAAATATTTCGAATCTGTGGCCCAACAAAAATACCTTTTTTAACCTTTGCCTCACTTAGTCTTGGAAATTTCTGACGTAGGTATTGAAAAGCTGACCCATCTCTATCTAATGCCTTGACAAAGTTTTTCATTAGGCCCAACTTGATATGCAGTGGTGGTAATAAAATTTTTTTCGAATCTACTAATGGCATATGCTGTACATTTTTTTGACCTGGCTCTAGGAATTGACGAACAGGCCAGTTTTGTCTGGTGTAATGAAGTGCCTTTGCCCGACTGTCCCATTCACACAAAAAACAGCAAAACTTTGTGTAGCCTAGCTGCAGCCCAAGTAAAAGTGCAACAACTTTCAAATCGCCACAAATATGCCATTGGTGCTCATCGTATTTTATGCATGTCAATAGGTACTTCATATTGTCATACGATTCTTTCATGTGAACTGCATACCCTACAGGAAGAGATGGTAAAATATTTCCAATATGCAATAACACTGCCTTGAAACTCAATGTTGAACTGTCTATAAACAATCTCCATTCTTCTGGGTTATAGTTTATATTTAAAGCCGCCAGTAAGCCGTTAATGTTACTGCAGAAAACCAAGTTATTCTCCATATTGAAAAATGGTTCTAAGTCTTTGTGGCGTTTACGAAAAACACATACCGAAACATCGTCTTCTAACAAGTTCCACTGCTGCAGTCTTGATCCAAGTAACTCTGCCTTACATTTTGGAAGTTCTAAATCTCTTACAAGATCATTTAATTCTGACTGTGTTATTTTGTGCGGTTGGTGGCATGACGTGCTCGGTATAAAATCAGGATCTCTTGACGTTGATGGCATATCTTCTTCCTGACGAATCACTCGATCGCCATGATCTGATTCGTTTTCTGATTCGCAAGTGTAGGATTCTGGGGGTTTTGGAATAGGATTTTCGTCACTGTGAGGCACAGGTCTCATCGCAAATGGTATGTTTGGGTAGTTAATAACCGATTTTTTTTTCTTGGACATACCTGTGGCTTGTCCAACACAAGGTACCATGCAAAAGTAACAATCATTAATATGATTTGTAGGCTCTCTCCAAACCATTAGGACAGCAAAGCGCATAGACCGTTTTTTGCCATTTAACCAGCTCCTCAGACTTGAAGCACATGTATTACAGCAGATGTGGGGTGCCCACTGTTTGTCTTGATCACATAGTTTACAACCGAAATAAAGCTGATATGCCTTTGTTATTAGTGGAGTAATAGACCGTCTTTGAGACGCAAAAGTCACATCACCACACACGTAACAAAACTGATCTGGATTGTTTACACACTTTCGAGACATCTTGCATGAACGCTGTCAGCCAACTGAGGAAAAAATGGCTAATATAAAACAATATAATGTACACGTATGTATAACGTAACACAATCATGCCGATTACATCATCTTTCCTTGCCGAATATAAAAATGTAGCACGTGCATTCTTGTGAATTACAGTATATTAACACTGTCACAGCAGGAACACATATAATTACCGTATCTCTAAAACTTGAACTAATATTGAAAAAATAAGTTTCATTCCGGTTTTAGCACATTAAAAATAGTAATATTTTGTTGATTTTATTTAAGATATTTTTTGGCTGTTGATCAGTGTTATTAGACCAGCCATTACTTATGCATGTGCGGCTTGGTGTTTTCTTGCCAAGACACACATGCAAAGTCTTCAAGTACTGCAAAGCAGAGCTTTGCGAACAATCTGCAACGCTCCATGGTATGTCTCAAACGACAAAATACACAGAGACTTTGACATTCCTTACTTGAGGGATTATGTCAAGCTCCAGGCGCAGCGATGTTATAGTCAAGCGGAATCGCACAGCAGCCCTCTGTTGCTCGAGTCAATGGACTATACAGTGGAGCAAGTTCGTAAACATTCAAAGCCACGGCTGGCACTGTAATCAAAAATTAGCGCGAACTTTTAGTAAACTTAAAATTACGCTCTAACTAAACCGAATGAAAATTTGTTTACTCCCCTCAAAATTAATCCGTGTACCAAGTCAAAAAGCCTAGATGTTTCCTCTTAAACTAAACACTTCTATTTTTCTTTGTTCTTCACCTTTTTTCTTCTCTTTCCCTTTCTCCTTTTCGTTGACATTGTTTCTGGGCAACCAGGACTGACAGATTCGACTAACGTACATTAGACAGTGACTAATGGGCAACGGTCCTACAGACCGCCCAAACAAGAAATGACTAATAGTGCTATAAAGGAATGGGTTCGTAAATTTGAACAAACAGGTTCAGCTGTCAATGTCAAACATAAAGGACTAAAGAACAGTGTACGTACGCCTGAAAACATCGATCGTGTAAGACTATCTGTGGAACACAGTCCAAAACGTTCAACCCGAAAACGAGCCTAAGCGTTAAGAATTTGTAAGCCATTTTACTTCGAATTTTGCATAAAGATCTCAATCTTCATCCATACAAAATTCAAATTGTCCAAGCACTGAAACCATCAGACATCCTGGCTCGTTTACGTTTTGCTGAGACGCTGCTTGAGAATGAAATCGATGTAACACAATTTCTGGATGTCTGATGGGCGCACTTCCATTAATTTATCCAACAATACCAACAAACAAAATTGTCGTTATTGGAGTTCAGTAAATCCACGGGAGCTCCACGAGCAACTATTACATTGCCCAAAAGTGACGGTATGGTGTGCGATGTCTTCAGTGGCAATTATAGGGCCCTACTATTTTGAAGATGAGAATGAGAATGCTGCTTCCATTAACTCTGTGCGTTATACCGATATGATAAAACAGTTTTTGAGTCACCGCTTGAGCAGTAGGATTTGTTAATGTTATACTGTATTTTATTTAAATTAAATTGGCTTTAGAATCATAAAGTATTTTAACCTTCTCGCTCCCGGGGACCACCTTGTATAATTGTATGTCTTATATTATTCGCTGTTTTTTGAATGATAAACAGTTTTTAAATAGACAAAATCATGTTCTCTTATAAAAAATAAATTATTTATTAACGTGCTCTCATTCTAAGGCAATCTTCACAACACTTTTCGTCTACATTATACATGAAGACAGAAGTGAATTATGAGTTGTTTGCAGAAAGTATTTATACCAAAAAAATGACTTTTGCATGTGATCTAGCCTAGAGCAAACCTATGCGAAAGCCTTGCAAACACTGAAAAAACAAAGTATCGAAAATGGATAAAAATTATTATCTATTTTTAAGGTAATACCTTAAATAATGAGCCGTATTCATAAAACAAAGGATATCCTTGTACAAATTTTGAAGGAAATCCTCCAGATAGTATTTATAATAATTTGAAGTAAATGCTTTTGCTTTTTGAGTATAAGCATATCGTTCAAAACAGTGACATAAGTAAAAGGATATTCACTCCAAAAAATTTTATCGGTTCGAAGAAGCAAATATACAGGGTGCGGCAGAGAGGATGGACGATTTTAAAAAAATCATAAAATAGTTAATTTTTACTCGAAAACAAACATATTTATTGATGGAATCAGGTTCACAAGGAAATAGCATTTGAGACAGTCAAGTGCGGAAAATCACCTCAGGCATGTGGTGGCCGAAATCGTTGCTGCAGTGCTGGAGGCGTTCTTGGAAGTTCCCGTAGACTCTCTCCAACTTGGGCGACTTCCACGCGAATTTCGACCTTCAATTCGTCCAGAGTTCGGGGCTTGTTCGCGTATACTCTAGCCTTGAGCTGTCTCCATAAGAAAGACCTGTCGAACGCGTTCAACATTTTCAGGAGTTCGAACTGTTCGCGGCGCTCCTCTTGGTCTTCTGTTGATCAGTTCGCCACGCCTGCGAAGTGATTCAACCCAAAGAAGGATGGTGTTTCGAGAGGGAACAGCTCTATTCCGATGAATGTTGAAGTGGCGACGAAACTCACGCTGTACGACGATGACTGACTCATTATTTCGGACGAAACAATCATAGGCGAAAACGCGGTGCTCCACCCTCCAAGGCTCCATAACGACAACTGGTAAAATAATGCTAGGATCTCACGAGTCAAACGGCACCCTCCCCACCTCTCCCGTAGACGAGTACTACCCATCCCAAAAACGTCCGTCCTCTCTGCCGCACCCTGTACAATAGCTTGGGGACAGATTTTTAGTTGAAACTGAGGAAACTCGAGGAGGAGCACTTTCATGTATTCATAAAATGAAGATATGTCTACGTTATCTCGGTGACCCTGGATATCAACAAGGTTTTGGTCAGGAACTTGGTGTTAGACAAGCAACGGTATTTCGAACTGTGGATAGAGTTGTGAACGAATGGATCAAGTTTCCAACTACCAATCATGAACTAATGGAGGCCAAGCGGATATGGCAAAGTATGTATAAATTTCCGACAGCAATTGGTGTAATTGATTGTACACATATACGAGTAGGAATCCTGAAACCAAATCGCCATGGAGATGACTATATCAACCGAAAAGGGAAACCTACTTTAAATGTGCAAGCCACTTGTGCTGACAGAGAGATGTTCACAAGTGTTGATGTCAGTTGGCCTGGATCAGTGCATGATTCCAGAATATGCAGAAATTCACAGACTAGATCACAACTAATAAATAAAGCAAATGTTGTGCTACTTGGCGATGACGGTTACGGTATTGAGCCATGCCTTATGACTCTCCCTTCAGAAATCCTACTTCAGGTGCAGAAATAAATTATAATAAGATTTTAAAACAAGAAACAGTTATAATTGAAAGCTGTTTCGGCCAACTGAAACGCCGGTTTCCTATCCTACAGTATGTTTGCCGCATAAAGTTGGAAAATGTGCCGAAAATAATTATTGCTTGTATTATACTCCATAATGTTGCGAAGAGTTTGGGCGAGCCTGACTTTGAGTTAGTTGAACAAGACCCAGATGAAGATGAAGGAAATCATAAGAATGACGAACTTCCTCTCCGTTAACTAGGTCAACAAATAAGAAGAAACTTGAGTCTTACAATAAATAGTTTTACTGATTAAAGTATATTTACGTATATAAGTTATAATAAGTTTTATTTTCGTGAACTTCATAAGTTACAGGTGGCTTCTGACGCTGCATCACTTCTAATTTCGTTTTATAATACTATTGTTGTAAAATACTTGTTTAGTACTGCTGTAATAGCACTAGACGTTGCAGTTCTTTTGTAGTTAACCCTTTGGTTTCCTCAGTTTCGTATTTCTCTGTTGCTAATTTTCTTTTTGGTGGCAATGTCTGCTGAATTGCTGGCGCTGTAATACTAACTGTTTGCTTACTGTGCTCGGTATATAGTTCACTTCCTTCTTCTTGAAGACTACCAACCTGAATGGCACCTCTAATTTTCCCAATTGTAGGATTACAGTCACCTTCCATAGCTTTCAACAACAATTTAATCGCTTTGTTACCACTTTTTTTTAGATCTGTTTTTTCTTCAACCTTGATTTTATGTTGTTGATTTTTTTTATAAGCCTTTAGTATCTAATGGTTTACCGAATGTTGATTCGTATTTTTTCAACATCTTATTCAAGGCATCGTCCTTTCTCATTTTTATTTTTGGAACTTGTGACTTTTGCAAAATAATGGGTGCAATGGCAATTTCATCTGCGATGAACTGCAGGTCGTTGCCATTATTTTCTATAGTTTCCTCATCACTTGAGGATGACAGGCTTATTAATTTGACAACAAAGTATATCCAGTAAAAATACGGAACGGTCTGTGTAGGCTCTGCAGTACAACTGTCAGTGATGCTGAGTGAACGAACTCCCACGTCAACTACAAGCTGGAACAAGTCAGGACATGTCGCTCAAGATACAAATACCAGTCAACTTGTTACTTCTTCTTGGAGGATATCCTCGCGAGTATAAGGTAATCATTATGATTTGAAAACAAGGATATGCTTATACTTCTAACGTTTTCTCCGAAGCAAGTCCTTATACTTTTACCTTATGCTTCCGAGGATATGCTTCTCTTTTATGAATACGGCTCAATAAGTTGGTTATGGAATCAGAATTTTGCTTACACCACCTTTACCATGGTAGACTATTAAACTTGAAGTTTGTGGTGTTTCGATACAACTTTTTAAAGACAAAATTGGTGAGCTTCTGTATCATCTATTGACAATAAACAAAGAGAGAACGAATTTTCAATTGGTGTAACTTAAATTTGTCGTTGCAGTTGCCTGTACACCGTGAAATGAACGGGTTACTATGTTTTGCTTCACTAATTTAGATTACTATTATTCAAAGAGGTTTTTGAATAAGATTCCACCTATTACCCCAATTGGAGTATATGATGTTTGTGAACCTTGAGGTTCTGTCAGTTAAAATGTAGTATCAGTTTTTGCTAAATTTTGCAAACTGTCAAGAAATACACTGCCATGTTATAACAGGTGGTCAGAAACGGTTATTCAACTTTTTCGAATTTGTCCTTTGAGGGGACTTAAAATTCTCTTCAGATGCCTTCCTAGAGACAAGCTGATCTCTGATTTGGGCTCAATGATCATGAAAACCTATATGACAGATGTTCCGACTCGAATTAGTCCTTGAAGTGACATTCAGATGCTTTTACAGTGACTAATTTCTTCTTTTGAAAATGTGATTGATATGACCTAGAATGCACTCAAATAAACAAGCTAAGCCCAGATTTGAAATCAGCGACTCAAAAAACTCTATAGCACTGTAAATAGTATAAATGCCGCAGACCTTTTTGTTTGTTGACAGCTTTTCGGTGTTCTGGACCATAGTGTGGCATGATATTTTCTTATTTTGATATTTTTAATGCTACATTATGTAATGTATAAAAATCTCAAATAGTCAATATATTCTTTTTTCGCAAAAATAAAGTTTATCATACGTCACATAAATTTACTAACCTCGTAACGCATAACATTTGATCGAACGTAGATACTGAAATCCGCAGACTGGTTTGTTTCTATAATTTATTTTATGTTTTGATTGGCTACAACAATTTCAGATAGTCTTAGCTATTTTTTGGATATGGTGAGGTAGATTCGTTTCTTCTACAGATATTTCGAGCTTCTTAACTGCATTTTGTGTACGAGCCTGCTGCTTGGTTCTGTCGTTTGCGATCATATTTGGTCTTGGATATCCCACCCTAGAAACAAATAATCAAGTGACTGCTTTGTTATCCACATTGTCAAAATGACAAACCTAACTTTTACCACCTAAAAAAAAAAATGATGTCAAGTAGGTTGATTGCACTTCCTACGCAACGGCGTCATCAGTACATGAAGGATTAAGATCAGCACAAGTTGAACCCTTTGAGATAAAAAATAGTTACGAACATGTACAAAAGACGTTTTTTAGATCTGCCTCCGATATAAAAATTAAAAACTTGACAGACGGACGGAAGGCAGATGACAACCCTACCATTGTAGCCTTAGGGTACAGCCTAAAAGTGATTAAAATATTGAATCGAATTTGAAAATGAACAATTTATTGTTATTATAATCCAGTGCAACAACTTTTTTGTGGCTTTTTCCGTTTCAGTGGCGGATTTAAGTAATGGCAAAATGGACATTGCCGCCTGGGCCCCCCAAGGAACGGTGGTCACAGGCCCCCCCCAGCAAAATCAGCTCTAGTGTCTATATTGTTCAGTGCGTCTGCATGTAAAATTGATAACATGAAATCAAAGTGTTGTTATATTCTTTAATGACCATCTGCGTAATGTTTATCAAACAGCGCGTTAGCGTTCAGTTTGAATAAGAAAATTTCCCTTTCATTTCTTAAGAAATGTTTTGAAAACTGACCGAATGACCCTTTTATTTCTCAGGGAGTAGAGGGGTTATTTTTCATTTTGTGCTTACAGTTATATATATTATTACCTACAGGTATAATGTTCAGTAAATACATATCTTCGTGGTATGAATCAGCCTCTCTCAGTCTAATAAAGACTCTAATGCGTCTATTACAGTCTTTTCATGCCTTCAATGCTTATAACCATAAACTTTTACAATGCTGTACATTTTTTTTTTTGATGAAGTATCAATTTTCTTCGTGATAAGATTGTGGTAGAAATTTTTGAATGTATAATCAAATGCATTGAAGATGAAATTTCAAGAGTAGGAGCTTCTGGCGAAGATATAATGAATGCAAGATCTCGCCTTTCCTCCATGAACTGGACCTTTTTCCTTAATTTGTTATGGTGGCATTCAGTATTGAACGTAATGAATACTGTGCAAGTTCAAGTGCAAAAGAAAGAAATAGACTTGATGATGGCTCAAAGGTGCCAGCAGCATAAAAAAAATTAAAATATTTGAGGAGCGAAAGCACATACGATAATTTTGTTCTGAAGGCTAAGAATAAATGGGAAGAGATGGAATGGCAAAATCCTGGTTTTCCCATTGTCAGAAAGAGGAAAATCAAATAAATTTTCGACGAAATGCTGCTGATTCGCCACTGGAAACACACGAAAAACATCGAATAAATTACTACGAAGTTTTGGATTCAATGAGTAACGAATTGCAAGAACGTACTGAAGGATTTCGTGAAGTGATTGATATGTTTGGTCAATCTAAAAGAAAACGAATTAGAAACCAGCGTCACTAATGTGATAGAAAAATATTCGGAATTTTTCACTACAGATCTAAGATATGAATTAGCCAGTTTTACAAGCATGTATTTTTCGGAATTTCGTAATTTTACTAATGACAGCCCGCTAGATTATTTGAAGTTCATGATTGCAAACAATTTTGTAGACAGTTTTCCAGAGAGCTGCAGATTATTCAGATTGTTTTTGACTTTGCCTAGTTCAGCTAGTGCAGAACGTGTCATGAGATCTTTGAAAATTATTAAAGAATACCGTCGATCTTTTTTGGCTAAACACACACTCAACAACTTCTCTACCCTCTATATCGAAAGATCAGTGTCTAATACACTCAATTTGGATTCTGCGACGGAAATTTTTGCCGAACGAAAAGCAAGACGTGGACTCAAATTAGAATAATTCTGTTATTATGTATTGAATAACAAATGTTTGATCTCACAGTCTCTACTTGATTCAGGTTATATAGACATATAGTAAAAAACAGAGGTAATACTGCGCAGCAGCTACTATTGTGCATATAATTGTAAGCTCCTGTTAATATGTGACATCCCTATTGCTGGCAAAATCTGTAGATCAAACTTTATCTGAATAATTTAGATGGATTTTACGTTATCGAAAAATTTTAGATCCGCCTGAATATTGACACAGTTGAATTAGCTGTTTTATTGGCATGTTGAAGCAGCATCAGATTAACTTTTTGAATCAAATTATTATTAAAGAACTTTTTGCACTATCCATGAGCTTGTTTCGGTTACTTGTGCAGGTCTTTTTTTCTCTCAGTTGCCGTCATTAATTTGCAAATAGCGGTAAATATAAAGAATATCACTTTCGCAAATAGTGCCCAGTATATATATCCTGTAGTAATGCACGCTATTTAACGTATTTTAGTGTTGTTCACAAAGTTTGTATTCAATGAAATATTAATCACAGCAAACATGACAACAACTATCGATCATATTTGTTTTTTTTTCTTACGGTAGCATCAGTGATAACTTTTAAACTCTATTATGCACAAGAAGTTTGCTGGTGAATCATCAAGTTTAATTTACTTCAAAAAATTACGATGCGCATTACAACCTGTTCCGTGCCCGTGCACACTATTAAATGCAAAAATCAGGCTGGTGTACGATTTCACTAACATGACATTACGCATTAAATTTTGATATTAATTTCTGAGTTATCATACAACTTTCAAAGTTTCCATTGCCGTATTTTATTTGTCAATAATTGCAGTAATTTATGTTATTCGCAAAACAGTTATATTGCGCACTATTTGCCGTCTTTCCCTGATCATACCACTGGCAGAACATGATTCAGGTTTACTTTTTTTTCTGTACGGAAAAATTCCAACTTTAGGAAGGTTCTGGTTAGTCTACAGACATTACACCATACACCATAACTAATTACTGAAGTACATTACAGTTTTTCTTAGTTTTTCTATCCTGCTATGATCTGAATTTAAACCTATTGGTAAGTACCTTCCATTCTTAATAGCGTAAACTTCAAATGCCTCGGCTAGCTCGGGGTTTATGTTTTCAAGAGGCGTATCACCTACTCTTATGAAAACTGGGATGAAACCTGCTCCTGGAGAAACATTTTGCTTTGGTACTGGAGTACAATCTACAAACAAAATAAAACAATGAAAGGAGATTAACAGATCCACGATTTCTAGTTGATAATTTATGGGATTTATGTCTGTACAAGGACGTGTCCAGGTAAGGGCAGAGAAACTTGAATCCACGTCAATTTTGATCTTCAAAAAACGTCTGCTGCTTTCCCAAATAAGAAAAGAAATTTTATTGGAAGTATCCGGTGCGTTTTTTGCCGATTGCTTCCTCCCCGAGGCTTTCTAGCAATGGATACATTCCGACTTTTCTTCTTTTTTGACCAAGTTTCTAAACGGCCCTGCGGCGGATTTCCTCGAGGCGGGAGGACAAATGTGAATTTCACGTCTAAAAAATGCGTAGAAAAAATGACGATTATGGAGAAAAATAACTTAAAGATCAACGTCTCTAATTGTGGATTCGTTTTTTCAAATAAAAAAGTCTTTTCGCGTAAAAAAATGTGGGAACCATATTTTTGAAGCAACCCTCGTATATGGGGTACGAACTCATCTCTATCATAAATGTTTATAATTACAAACAATAGTGCAGATGTTCACATCTTTATATTTACTTACTGCTTAAGGAACTTCGACTTGACCTGATTAGAAAGTGTTAGATATTCTACAAACAACAATTAGAAGAACTACAATAGTTCTACCGACAGTTTATAAATAGGATTCCAGTAGAAATCAGATAGACATTTCCCATTTGTGAGTAAATAAGAATTTTGTGGGATGTATTTTTAACTTAATTATGACTGGATCTATTTTTATAAGATTTGAGAGAGGTATACACTGACGGTAGATAAATGCTATATGTTTTTAGACGACTGGAATTTGATGGTGGAGAAAGTAGAAAAAAAAAGGCAAAATTGATTCAAAAAAACAAAATTATTATGTCAGATGCAAGCTTCCGTTTAGCAGCAAACACATTTTTATGCGAGACAAAGGTAATTGCAGAACGGTTCTAAATTATAGTAATAAAAAATTACATATCTTCAAAAGTTGAGCACAACTCAAAATATTTGCCATTCCAAAGATACATTCAAAATTTATACTTATAATAGGAGCTCGGCATTTTTATTCAATGATATATTCCTTTGAGGTCACACAAAACACCAAAAAGCACCAAAGCTATGACAGTGTTATTATCGATAACATATCTCTGTACAAATTTTTTCAATGTCGATAACACCTGTTGCTGAGCTTACGCGGTGTCAAGAAAGTAAGAAATCATCGAAGAGCCACAAATAGAATAACGGACGTGATATAGAGCTCATAAAATGTACATCGTAATAAACGGATTCAAATGATACATCTCAAGCATCTGAGTACTCGTAGTACAAGATTCACTGTTTACAACACCTTGATGTCATTGAAATGTAATGACTTCATCCAAAATAACCTTTCAGTTCAACCACTAGACTAGAGCACTACTGAAGTAATGTAAATTGAGGACTAGTTTAATCCGAAATTTTGTAGGTATATCACGAAATGATGCCAAATTTACGTTTAAAGTCATTTTGACATAATTATTGGCCAAATGGCAAGATCAATATGATTTCAAACGTCAATTGCATTTCGTACTTTTATTAAAGTTACCGAGGCATCCGAAACACCGATAAAGCTCCCTCTCATGAACACCTGTGCTCATAAATGACTTGTAGGTCGATATGCTGAATAATATCACTTTTCACTTAACTAAAACTACTTCCATATGCACATATATCAACTATAAATTACACACCTGCACTCTTGAGGATCACCACCACTGCCGGCACTAATAGCTGGACGAGCAGAATTGCTGATATCATTCTCGATAGCAAGAACAGAACCGCTTAGAAGAATAAACTGGTTGCGCAAGAATCCTCGACCGAATGTGCTGTGAGTCAGCGATGATGGCTGGTTTTATATTTTTTTGTTTTTTCTTATTAGCGGTACAGCATGTGAAGCATAAGAGTGCACAAGAACAGGAGCAGCACAGTGCAATACCTTCTTAAATAGCCTAAAAGACTGATGGAGAATGGCCCCAGTACATTTCACTTTGTCACGAAGTGGATAGTTATCCTGCCAGTTAATGAGGACGACACAACAGTTTGAAAAACTAATAATACAGTGCAGTAAGAAAAATAATTGATCCATTCCCATGACCAATCTCGTCTCTCAAACTTCTCTTAGGTGGGAAACTCCATGGCCACTCTCCCACTAAGACTTTCACTCATTCTGGCGTTGGTGCTTTATACACTGAGGAAAAGTTGTCAATTAAATAGTTTTTCTGGAAAATTTTCATTACCTGAAATACATTTTTAGTTATTCTAAGTAACTAAATTATTCGGTTTAATTAAACTTAATTTAATGGAACCAGCTTAATCGAAAGTAATATACTATTAAACTAATTTGCCTCGAACTATCAAACCATGTACCTGTTTAATTAAATTGTTTAATCAGTCTAGGTAATTTAGTTTATGTGAACAGGCACATTTAGACCAATTAAACATTGTAATAAAAACAGCTAAACTGTTTATTTGAATCACGTACTCGGCAGGACTTGGCTCTTCATCTCAACTTCATTTGTGATTTTCGTGACGAGCTTCGTATTCGAAAGTTACTGTTGTTGGTGTTGGTGAAGTGGATCAATTATGGTTATAATATTTTTCGCTCCCACTGAAACACTCTGCCTGTGTCTAGATTTAACTAGGCAAATACTTTTACTTACACTACTTAAACAAGTTTAATAAATATAATTAAATTGTTTTACTTGGAGCAGGAAAACTCATAACAAAGGTCATTCATTTTAAATAAATTGGTGTATTCATCTGAGTAAATGATTTAATAAATTTAATCAAGTTACCTTTTTATTCAACTAAAGTAGTTTTATAGATTAAAGTAAACTGTTTTAGAAACCAGAGCCGAATTGAACTAATTAAACTTGTTGGCTGTCACATATTTAATTATTTTTTAAATTGACTTGATTAATATTTTAATTGGATTAAGTTTTTCTCTCAGTGTAGATACATGTTTGGCTGTTAGATTTAGTTGATAAGATGTAAAACCAATATTTCGAAGAAAATAAAGAATACAGAAAGACAATGCATCAAGAATATTGAACAGACAAAAGTGTAGCAATTTTTGTTATGTGTTCAATTGTGCAATGACTACAGAATCAAGCTCATTCGACTTATGTAACTTCTGGGCTTGGAGGATCATTCTAGTCGTCATAAGCGTAATTTTTTTGTCTTTTTCTTGCGGATTTTCAAAAATCAAACTCCATCACCTATTGCCGCCATATTATATTGTCGTGTCCTAAAATTTGTTAAACAGTGTAAGATGTTCTGAAATATAGGGACATTTCAATTTGATGTTTAATTTTTTGGTATCCTGCTATTTTCCTCCATGAATCAATATTTAGAGATGTATGTTTTCGGTTTGAACCACATTTGGGGTTTGAGAATCACACTATCAGATTCTCTGGATGCACATATTCTTTTGCATACTATTGGTGAACGCTATTCAAATGATACATGTTTAACTAACTATAAAAACTGTATTTAAATGGATTACTTAAATGTCGTGATCAATGTCCATGATTCTATACAGGATGTCACAACGAAACTGAAAAGCAGTTTTATAAAAGAACTATAAGAGATATTCAAAAACGGTTATCGCAGCCATATGCTGATATCTGTAGGTGTATATTTCTAAATTATTTGTAAATATAAAGGGTGTTGCACAATTCTGTAACACAACAAACACATCTTTTTGTAAACACTATATTTTTTTAGATATTTGGAAAGAACTTTCCAAAACAAGTAGATTGCAGTGTTGATCCTCAATAGTTATTTTATCATTTATCTGAAAACTTTTATATCCGCATTTTTCATTGAATTTTGGAGAGAAGATGTAAAAGTGAGGCAAGTTTAAGGGTCAACTGCGGAAAGTGCAATAATATGGTCTGTTTATATGGGCAAAACGCAAACCTTTTTCCTAAAAATTCCAAATGGAACGTCCTGTGTATTTTTGCACCATCAGATTCGCCTTTTTATAAGCTTGCATTATTAAATGAAGTATGAACTAGTATAAGCCTTACATTAGTAAGGCCTATACTAATGTAAGGCTTATACTAGTTTATTTGAACGGTTGGCTGCTTATATCAAAAAATTCTAGAATCTAGATCATCGTTCGCAAAGTTGGGGTTTTCGTTTACACGAAATGCAGGTCTTGAGAAAATAAGCGGATTTTCTTAGTAGCATATACACCAATATCTTAAGAGAACCGAGATATTGGGCTCCGCAAACTCAATCAAACTTGAACCAAACTGATGCCGGTCCTGTCCTATCCCTCGATCACGTCGACAGCGCCAGCGCTACCGTACACTTATACGACGTAGGAAAACGATGTAAATACGGATTTTACGACAGAGCCGTACTTGGAATTTCAATTCAACTGAACAGTGAGTACTTTTTACTTTATTTTTTTTACTTGTTCGCTCACGTTTCACCACTCATTAGCTTTGTTATCTCAAGCGTAGTTGTGTCTGAAAAGGAAAACCCCTGTATTGCTCTGTTTTCTGTTATAAGTAAGGTGATGGAGATGTGCATGAATCGGAAGCTTCTCGAGTATTTCGAACATCGCGGCTTGATTAGCTTCGCTGATAACAGCAATCTACATGCAGGTATTCAGAGTGCCAAGTCGATTTCTGCCAATGCGCTGGAGAGATATCTGGAGGTTATCACTCCTTTCTACGTAATATGACACAATTTAATGCTTCCCAAAGACAGTACTGCACCTTGACTAATGGATGGCTAAATTCTACCGAGGAGCCGTCCATTTCGGTCAGTGGTAATCTATATCATTGATGTCTTAATCTGGCAAGATCACTTTTCGTTAATTACAGGGAAAAAGTTAGGCTATTTGTTTAGTGCTAAGAAGTACTTTGTTCCTTTGTCCCTAGGGTCGAAGCGGCTAGGCGCCAATTTGTAACATTTTTTAACGGACTGAACCTCCTTTTGTGTACTTTATAGACCTAGAATATAAAGTCACTATCTTTTAAAATGGAGGACTGGCAGCCTATCAAAATTGAGGGTTTTTTGTACATTGAATAGCTTATAGTCTTATTCTTTTGGAAGGGTCTATAGTTTATACGAATGTGCAATAAAATATTCCGTTTTAAAAAAATGACTGATTTTGACTTTTTAATGGAATGATTCATATTTTATTACATACCCTTCCAAGCAAATGGCGCCCAGCCGCCATCTTGAAATTGTCAACTGTCGCTTTTACGCTAAAATGTAATATTCATGAATTGATTTCATTGTCCCGAATACCAGCTTTCTAACCTGACCCATTCTGAAAAGCACTGTAGAGATTGTTGTACTACTCGTACACAATTTGTAATTCGGACTTTGATCATTGAAGTTTTACCGCTGAGATGTACTGGTCACCTCATTTGAATTACTTAAGATATGATGGTCATTTCGGGATGCATGGGACCTCGTACATACGGGGTCTGTACATTAAGTGATGAGACTGGCAATGTAGCATTCGATCTGGCAACACTGGAGTAATTCCGAGGATGACAATATAGAATTATAATTATATTTGAATAAAAAAATTAAAAAATATCTGTCTCATCACTTAATTTACAGACCTCGTATACTAGAGGCGCGACAAGGCCATCAAAATACAATGAGATATTAACCTATAGATTATAACATCATCGAATATAAATAATGGACTTACAGGTATATCTAATCAACTGGCAATTTATTATGATCATCAACATTTACATTTTTTATTTGTTTGAAAAATCGTGACCGAACCTTTACAATGCGAAACATACCTATGAAGTTAATTAATATCCGAATGATTCACCGTCTAAAACCTGAACCGGAGGTGAGTGATGATATAAAATTCAAGGTGAAATGAGAGAGTTTCTGAATAAGGATACCTTTTTGTGGTTTTGCTGAATGGCACTGATATAGCCTAGTCCTTAACAGTGAAATTTTATTAAAGCACAGTAAGTGTTAGAATTTCGTACTTCACTAAAATTTCTTGCTAGCTATGAGCTAATGCACCCTGCAAGTAACGATTACGTTTTAAAGCTAGACATTTTTATAGATGGTGCATAGCATGTTAAGTACATGGTAACAGTGACTTGCATTATTTAATCAATTTGTTAAATTTCGATAAAATGAGAATCTAAATTTTTGTAGTTTGAAGCTTGAAACCTTAATGTGCATTGCAAATCAGCAAAATATATAATTGGCTTGCAAATATGACGCTGCTAAACACGTGCCAGTCATCACTGTGACCGCTAAATGCCTAACGATTCTGGCTGTATAATAGATGTTGTCTACTCGCCGTTGAATAACTAAACATGCTGCTTTCTTTCTGGGACAACGATCAAAAGCATAGCAACTATCCTCTATCCAAGGTATGAGTTCTACCGAAATAAGTCAGCGCAAAGCGCCATCTATTGCTACCACTGCGAGAGTGGTCTTAGCATAAAATTAAATATAACAAAGAAATATGTATGCTTTATTCAGTTCTTAAATAAACTATTTTCATATTTCAAACATCTTCACTGTATTAACAAAAACTAGTAGAATTTTTCATTTTTTGGAGCTTTCGTTTCTGAAAAAATCCGTGTACGATGTGATCAGGTCGTCCATCTTGTACCCTTGCGAAGTCTCACAAAGCAGTTTCGTCTTTTTCATAATATTGCCGATGGTGAGGTGGAAATAAGTGTTCCCTGAAGACCAGTTGCTCAGTTCGGGGTATTCGTGGGTAGCAAGAATATCCTGAAAATCAAAATTCTGTTAATAATATCCTACACTATCCTTACACTAGATTCTAGTCTATTCTAACAAAGCCTATACCCTAATCGTAGTCCATTTACAACGGTACAACAAAACGCCATAAAACTACGAACAAGTGCAGAATTCGACATGATAGAACACAGGCTCGGGGTATCGCCGGCACGCCGACGCGGGCTGTCGCTGTTCATAATCGGTGCATACATAGCGGGTGTTTATACGTTATCATGTCGTCTACGGATACAGCAGATGAAACTGAGAATATTTCTCCCAATGCTTCCTTCAGCAATGCTTCCTCTTCAGTGATGTCTCCTTCCCGAAAACGTGACAAGAAGTGACATTTGAACATTCAGGCAAAAGACATTGTCCTTAACGTTTATAAGAGCGTAATTTTAGAGCATCCTGAAATGAAAATTCATGATATTGAAAGACGTATGGCGAACAAAATAAGGTTATGTCCTAAGACAATGTTCAACATTGTTAAAGAATATATAAAAAAAATTGTCTCCACCACACAAGAGGCTGCATTACACAAAGCTGTTGGGTACAGTTGATAACTTTGTTCGGAATGTCATCAGACGCAAAGTCCATAACATTTTTTTAAAGGCAAGAGCTTCCCACCATAAACAAAGTATACTAAGTGACATATAAATCCGAACAGCCAGTTTAAATGGTTTTATTTTAATAAAATTTTGTATAAGTACTTATTGAAGCATAATAAGTAAATGATAAAAATTTCAAAATGATTGCACTGCTTTAAAGCCCTTTGACCTTTAATAATGTGTGGATGCAACCTGATGTGCTACGCATTCTCCAACGCGCCTAGGCATGCTTCTGATCAGGTGGTCAATGTCCTCCTGTGGTATCTCATTCCAGGCAACCACCAACTCCTCTCGAAGTGCTTCTAGAGTCTGAGGAGGACGTTGCAAATTGAGCAATCTCCTACCCATCATATCCCACACGTGCTCAATTGGGGATAAGTCGGGAGATCTTGGTGACCATGGTAACAATGTGACATCATTATGTTGAAAGAAGTCTATTGTGACTCTTGCAACATGTGGTCGGGCATTATCTTGTTGGAAAGTTGGATCTGCCAGGGTGTCAAGATAGGGTAAAAGATGGGGTTCTAGAACTTCGTGGATATAACGCTGCGCGTTCATGTTACCTCTGATCAAGATTAAAGGTGACCTGGAACCATAAGCTATAGCACCCCAAACCATAACTCCAACAGTATGATGAACATGTCTTTCAACAAAAAACTGTGGATTCCTCCTTTCACCACGTCGCCTTCTAACCCTGGCACGACCATCGTGCATGCCTAAACAAAATCGAGACTCGTCACTAAGACAATACTGTTCCATTCCTGATCCCAGAGTGACCGTTGTCTGCACCACTCAGGGCGATTACGTCGGGGTTCTCGAGTCAAAGGGAGGACCCAGTGTGGCCGGTATGAAAACAAGCCAAAACTTCTCATTCGTCGGTAAACACTTCGCATGCCAGTAGGTCTTCCGTGTTCTGCAAACCATTTATTTGCAATGGACCTGGTAGTGGAGAAACGGTCCCTTAAGGCCAATATAATCTTAGGCGGCGATCTTCACGGTCTGTTGTTCTACGGCGGCGTGCAGTGCCCCTTGCTCTTTGCGTACGGCCTTCTCGAAGCCATGCCTGACAACACCTAACCACAGTGTCTACACTTCTTTGCACTCTAACTGCAATTGCCCGAAAAGAAAGTCCAGCTTCCCGAAGTCCGACTATACGGCCCCTATCAAACTCACTAAGTCGACGAAATCGTACAGGTCTCCGTACTCTAGGCAATGTAACCGATCGTAAAGGATGTCAAGAACCAAAATCCGCCAACGTTGATTCTTTACTGCGGCTAAAATATTCATTTTTAGAGCGTTAGTGAATCAAAAAAAAGCAGTATAAAAACCGGAATGTCCAACTGATAAGGCTGAAAATTTTTTCACTTGTTATTTACAGTAAGATAAATACATTCACCAACTTTTATTAAAATAAAACCATTTAAACTGGGTGTTCGGATTTATATGTCACTTAGTATATTACAGGAGGTTCATAGTGATCAACACTTACCTACTTTCAAAAGGACCACATTCGGAAGATGATCCAAGTACTTCCAGCGAATAAAGAATTGTGAAGAGTATGTGCACTTCTTTCTATAAAAATAGTCATTTATTTTGTTAGATTATTCCAAGACCATTAAGGAAAATACGGACCTGTACAGTCTCGCTTTTGGGCATGCTGTGTTTTGTTTGGCCGTAAATGGACAACGAATGGGGTATAGTTGCTTGCCTTATTCCTTTTTATAAAGTACCAAAATATTGCTTTCGGAAAGAGACGGCTTTCATCATCATTATCAATTGCATAGTATTTTTTCTGGCTACAGCCTAAGGTGAGTATTCGTTACAATACGTGTTACTGTGTCATGTGCCGGCACTTGTGCGCGTAACTTGTGTCGCAACTTGCAATGCAGATATTTCACTTTCTTATAGACAAAATACTGCAGATATAGAAGTCATTGTGCAGGGCGCATGTCGTAAGATGTGACAGATCTTCTGATGGTCTGCAATATGTTTCCATCTGAACAAGCTGCTACCTGTTGTATTGGAAATTTTTACCTTTACGTACTAACACACCTTTGTCAGTGGATGTATAATATTGACCCCTCTTCTGTTGATTGCAATGAGGATAACCTCGGGATAGGTAGGCTCAGTGGTTTGTTTAACTTCAAAGAAAGTTGATCCAAATGTTGGCCATTTGTGTATTATTTTCAAAAACTCAGTTTTTGCATGTTCTCTGGACGTTGGCGTGTTTCCGTACTTTGCAAATATTTGCTTTTTCCATTCAGAAGAGCTGGCTGCTTTGATTATATCAGCAGGAATGATGTCTTTCAAGCTGTGAGCGAGTATGCTTTGGACTTCTTGGAGATTGTCCTCAAATCGTGCTCTAAAAGGAGGTATGTATAAAAAAATATGGAATAAATTGGATAATGTAAATTTATTCTGCTATTTTAGTAAAACGAAATAAAACTAGTATCAGGAGTATTCGAATCCAGATCCGTGCTGGCTCGTCTGTCATCTACGCTATGCCAGCGTTTGACGGATCCTGTTTCCTCACCATCAGTTTTTATATTACAAATTACTTCCACATATATACAATTGAAATATGTGATGAATAATAAATAAACGTAAACACAAACATCGAGAAAAAACTATCGCATCTGATTGTGCATTTTGCTTAAAAAATCTTTTAAATTGTATTTACAAACTTTCCCTGTTGCGCCGCTGTACGTTGTCGTAGAGACTCGGCAAGTATCGCGTTTTCAAAATAACAAATGCGGCTATGATATTCCATATAGAATTTAGTCTATTTTTATTTGTTGGCAAGCAGGCACGTCGTGAATAACAAGTGCAAAAACGAGACACCACAAAGTTTAAAAACAAGACACCTGCCAGGTAAAAAACAAGACAGCTTTTATACCTTTGATAATAATGCCGAAGGTTTACGTTCTCAAAAAGCGCTCCTACGACAAAAAGAACATGGAAACAGCCCTAAAACTAATAGATAATGGCACTTTATCTCTTAGAAATGTAGCTAAAAAGTTTAAAATTGACAAATCTGCTCTTTCGAGAAGACGTACTCGTTCACTTGGTAAACAGGGAAGAAAAACTTCTCTAACTAAAGAAATGGAAGTAGACTTAAGTGATAAGATAAAAATTATGGCAAAATGGGGGTTTGCTCTCACTAAACCAGAGATACAAGCAATAGTTCAAACCTATGTACAAGAAAACCACCTTACTACCCAGTTTCAGGAAGGAAAGCCCGGGAAGGATTGGTTTAAAAATTCTTGTAAGCGCAATAGACTAAGTCAAAAAAACGCAAAAATGCAAGTTTACTACGTGGCGCAAATCCTTAAAGTTTTTGAGAGCGATGTAGAAGTAAAATATCTGAGGCGCAAAGGATTTAAATTTATTTTTCCGGCCATTGAGGAAAAGTACTTCATCGACAAAAGTGACAGAAATGAAACTTTCCCAGCCAGAAATAGAAAGTAAGACCTGTCATATCTCTCAGCAATATTGGTTTCCTATCGACTTTGAAAAATACGTCGTTCAATAATATGTAGTACAAAATACGTTAGAATAATAAGTTTTCTACTTTAGCTCTTAAAATCCTATTGAAAATCTTGTTTTACTCCTTTTTTGAATTAGGTATTGTTTATTTACCTTGTTTTGGATTTGTTTTCTTTTTAGTTTAATAAACATAGTTTTGTATTGAATTATGTGAGTTTTCTTTAAAACGTTGTCACAATTTAAAACCTAACTATGTTATTTGACTTACTAAACGCTTTAAAACCCTTGCAGTGTCTTGTTTTTATTGCCCAGGGTCTCATATTTTGCGCCACACTAATGTAAAATGACTAAAAGGCCAGAAAATACAGTGTCTTGTTTTTAACCTCTCACTGTCTCATTTTTAGCCTAAATAGTGGTTAAAAACGAGTCACGGTTTTTTAACAAAAACGCCCTTCTTTATGAATATTATGAACTTTTTTTAACGTATACTACATGGCTTTCTATATACAGGGCAATATAACAAAACCTTAAAGTCCTGTTTTTTGTTGACAAAAAATTAACAGATTTAAAAATCGTCTCGTTTTTGCACCACTTGACCCTACTTGATGAGGTTGAAATATATTTCCAGCAAGACGGCGCTCCTCCTCACTCCGTTCTTCCGGTTCGGCAATGACTAGACGACGAGTTTTCAGATAAATGGATAGGGGGAAGAGGGCCTATCGAATGGCCTGCTAGATCTCCTGATTTGACGCCATTAGGCTTTTTTCTAGGGGGTCATTTGAAATCTATTGTGTTACTCCTCAACCTGAAAGTTTGGATAAACTTCGTCAACGTACCATCGAAAGCTGCCATGATATCGCACAACATGTTTTTGAAAATGTCCGTCAGGAATTTGAACATCGCCTATATCATTGATTGGCCAATAACGGACAACATTTTGAACACTTTTTGAGATAAAAAGTGAGATTTTCATGTGTTTTTGTTTTCTATCTGAACAAATTAAGATAAATGAAGATTTTTCTAATTTTCTTGCAAATGAAATCAAACGTCAAAATGAAGGACTTCAAAAGACCTTTTAAACAAGCTATTACTCGATACCCCGTGTCACTTAAAGTTTTTCAGGGGATGACCCTGGGGGGCAGAGGGTGGAAGAAGGTGAAGTAGTTTTTGGTTAAAAAGCTGTCCCCATTTACAAATCTTTTAGCAGTGGTTTTCGATAAATCCGTGGTGGGAAGTTTTATTATTATTATTTATTATTATCATTGTATAATAAATTTGAGTTACGCCGCAAGAGCAGGTACTACAACCATACCTCAAAATCAGTGCTGCTAGATTGATAGCATCTTGTTTGGTTAGCTTGTGGTACCCTTTCAAATACTTCGGCAATTCTTGATGGTAATGGAATATATGATCTGCATTTGGGTCCCTTTCAGGTACAGTGTTTACCCAGAGTTTCTTCATGAAAAATATTTGGTAGTTTGCTGTAATTTGAGCTGCACCTAAAATATGAAATTGTGTTGATATCGGTTGAGCACAAATAACGGTTTTCCCAATAGGTACTTAGGGGTTTAAATTTACCGCCATTTTTTAACGAATTGACCTAGAAATCTTATCATTGAACATGCGTCATTTAGAGACCTGAAAATAGAGGGATGCATCAAAATTGTACTACGAAAATCCACTGTTATTTTTTCGAGAAAATGCGTGGTGGAACGTTAAATGTTAGCGGTGAGTGTTACCAAAAAGATGAACTTTTTGTAACTATAATTGAGTAATACGCACTTTAACAATATGTTATTCAAACAAGATAAGGCCACTTGTCATATGGCGACGGAATCACTGGCCTGCGAGATCATTAATCACCTGAAGCAAAACATTTCTCAAGTTAATGATCAGATTGAGCCGCAATCGTGCCAAAAGGTTGCTGAATATTATAGCTGAAGGATGATGATCTGTGGAAACAGCTATAGTCTGATATCAAAATTGAAGGCAGCGGCAAATTTGAAAGAAAGCCGCGTCTACCGTTTGTCGGTATGGACGGGAGACCGGCAGTGGTGCGAGAGTAAATATTTTAAGCTAGGTTCTCACGGGGCAAGAAGACATCGTGGCACGCTTGCGATTTTGCTGGAGTGAGGGATGAAACGTGAACCAGCAGCAGTCGTGAACTGTTCACATGGATCACAATTCAGCTTCAGTTAATTCCTTGGAGCTGACTATGGCAGAACATGTGGTTGAAAGTTGTGAGGTTTTGAGTTCGGTTTCAAATGCAATGGTAGCAAAAAGGCTAGGAAAGTTATGTCAACAGATGAAAAATTGGAAGAATAAGCGTTATTTTGTCAGAAAGTAGATGGGTTCAAGGAGAAACTCGGAGGATCACAAAAGTTCCCTGATGATCTTAAAAATTTGCTACGTATGAGTTTGATTTTCTCTAAGAACGTGTTTCTCCTCACATTACGTGGTTATGCCTGGCTACCGATTGTCGTGTCCACGCCTGATAATCAACCGTGTTTGATGTCGGTCGTGGGCAATGGGGGAGCTGTCGCTGTCCCGATGACGTCAGAGGCAAGTTCACGACACTTCGTTCAGGCAGAGAGAATTCCACGCAAGACGGACTCACGCTAGCGTGCCACGCCTCGTGAGAACGGAGCTTCATAATGGGTTTGACATCTTACTAAAAGTAGATATGTACGAGTAGTTGAATTTCATGTTTAAAGATCTACAGTAAAGACTTTTCTCACATGATGTAACCGTTAGTGCCTGAATTCGCATCGGCAAAATGCGATTGCCAAACGATTCCCAGATAGTCGTTGATTTGCCATACTTTTTGGACATTTTCGAGTAACATCTATATTATAATCACACAATTTTACGTCATTGAAGGTATGACTAATGAAGTAAGAGAAACTTCTTAATGTTTGATAGCATATAATTGAAATATGGAAGTAACCTCTCGAACAAAATTCAAATAACGCCAATTTCAGCCAATAAACGATGATGATGATGAGCAATTTATGTTGGAATGTATTGATTATCAACAAAGATTTGCTATACCTGTGTTCTAGTTGTAATAATAAATATTTTTGAAACACAAAAAGTTAATAATCTCGTCAGTCAGGAGATGTAGAAGTATCGTCACTACTTGAGCTTGAATTGTAGGAATCATCACTGTCACAGTCGTCGTTGCTACCGAGGTTGATGATTACTGGCTCTATGGATTTTTCTATATGGTGATCTATTTCCAAAACGTCTTTTCTTCTTTAATCACATGAGAGATACATTTCTGCCACGCATCAGCTGTCACAGCACCGATTACGTCTCCCAAGAGAATACGAACGTCAGACATTTTGAATGTCGTATTTTTACGAGCCACCTCATTTTTGATCTGAGCCCATATCAGTGCTATTGGATTCAACTCGCAATGATACGGTGGAAGTCTCAATACGACGAATCTCATCTCCCTAGCGATTCCATCAACAGCTTGTTTGACGAATCGGGGTTTGTGTTCACGCGCGATTTACAGCAGTTGTGCCTTCAGCATCGTATCACTGCACGTTATGTTTTTAGATACCAGCCAATTATAAATATCAGATTTTCGCCAATTTGAAGTAGTAAGGATTTCTATACGTCTACTGTGGTACGACGCATTGTCCATGACGATGGTTTGAGCTTGAATAATATGGATTTGAAGCTAGATTCAAAAACTTCGGCATTCATGTCCTCATGGTAGTCTGGATTCAAATATATTCAACCCTCCATTCACAAAGCCAGATGCACAACTTATATGTGTGATTATCAATCGGCGACCTTTACCTGAGGGACATTTCATACCTGTACTCAATCCATCACGATGGGCTTGTCTATGACTTGTCATATTTAAATCTTGCCAAAACTTGGAAACAGTATGCCCTTCATTCAGCCACGTTTCATCCAAGTAGTAAATTTGCTGTCTCCCGATTACGCGAATACAACGTATGGTTTTCAAGTATTCCAAATAACATGTCATCTTTCTCTATTAATGCACTGTTTCTTTTTCATTTCGAATATCTAATGTTAATTTCGCGCATGGTTCTCAACAGAATGCGACGAGATATATTGGGAAGAACGCCGTCACCATCCAAGTCACGTTGGTGCGTTTTCAATGTGGGAATTTCATTTTTCAAATAAAAAAGAGCACTTTCCGACGAATTACATTTTTCACATCATCATCTAGGACACGTCCTCGTTTTTTTTATCGGATTTAGCTGTTTTTTTTGCTTTCAGGATTCTATAAATGGTCCTGACTGGTCATATCGCTACAATCTCTCACTATTTCGTCCATTTTTTCATCAGGAAATTGCGAACGAAGTGCATTGTAAACGTTTTTCACGATGTTCCTGTCGCCAGGATATAAAACATGCCGCTGGTTCGTACTACCATTGCATTTCGTTTCATTTTTGAAATAGTAGATATGTGCAATGCCTGCGCTAACCAAACTTTCGTATCCGCGATCCCTACTTAACACCTTAAGAGTATGTACTCCGCACTTGACTACACTAGCTGGAACCTGAATGCAATAAAATTGCGGCGTATCTTTTGAGTTTAGCGCGACGCCGACTACGACTCACTTTCTGCTTTATCGGATTCTTAACTTTTTCAGACCGAGGCGGAATCCGCCGCAAAATTTTTGATAGACGTAAATAATATACTGAAAAGCCAAGGTCACCTTCCCGATACTCTAAATAGGTCATTGCCATCGTAGTTACCCGATTTTTATGAGTATTTGTAAATTCAGAAATTGGAGAAAATCTAACACATGAATCAGATTTTCACATATGACATCCATATTCAAACATTTTTTGATACTGGACCTACTTGGTGTATACGTATATATGTATATTCAATTATTGTCGGTTCAAGCATTCACGTTTAAAATACGTATTTCCAGCAAGTTGTTTCGCAAAAATTCAGTTCTGGGAATCTATGGATTTGATTTCCGGAATCACAATTTACGAATAGCGGTGGAGCTTAAGACCTGATCAAAAACATAGTAGCCGCAGCTAATATATTTTCGATCACGAAGCATAATAAACTGTTATCAAGGGATTCTCTGAATATAATTCGATTTGGCTACATCGTATCTTTCATTTGCTTGGAATGCTCCATGTTGTCAAATCCAATGTTTTTCAATCAAGTTTAAGAGAAATCCCTCGTAACGTGGATAGACGTGGTATAAGCCAGACCTGTTGAAAATTGAGGTTTTCCCAGGGTATGGAAATATTCGCATCGACTGAGTATCATAAAGCCTACCTGATCCAATGATACGTAAATTGCAAAGCCTGACTTCTGGCTACTGATCTTACCGCAGGATTTGACTTTGACTACTTGAGATTGAAGATTTTGCTTATATACTCGTATCTTATTTTAAATAGGAGATCAGAAGAAAATTGTTCAACATTTGAATGTTCATGCAAAAATTGAATATGTAGACTTTCAGTGGATTTCTTCGATGAACGCGTGACAACATCGCTTACAGTTCTCTACTGCCTTCCAATTTGGAACCGAACTATTATGTGAATATTTAGAGAGTGTTACTTATCAAACATCCATAAGTACCTATTGAGTCCGTCTTCATTGCAATTTGTTTGGAGAACAGTTTTCAATAGACATTTAACTTACTTCCCCAGCTAGGCTTGGTAGCTCTTATCCAGTTGATAAGTTCACTCAAGAAGTCATAGAAGAAGGTATTGTACGGAATAGAAAATACCCTATCTGATATCGCTACAAACAAACTGAATCCATCCATGGACTTGAGATCGAGTCTGGATACAATAACTTTGCACAAATCTATCGCTCTGGTCATGGAATCTACCTCAAAAGCTTCGTCACTGTCATCTGGGAAGTAGATTTTGTGGAAGACTTCCATGCTCTTGTGTTGGATTGCTTCTACTTCAACGGAGTATGGAGGTAGCTTCCTGGGACCGACCTAGCGGAAAAAAATTAGCGAAGAGTAAATCCTTATACTTGCCTTAGGAAGTTGTCTGAAATCTAGATATCTCTCAAATAAGCATCAAATACATACACATATAGCGCCAAATTTTTCTATACAGGGTGATTCACAAGTCGTGACCAAAACTAAAACATCATACCCAGGACCGTATTTTAAAGGGCATCATTGGTATGTGGATCTACCTAAGTATTTTAACGGACACCAGTGGCGGAGGTATAGGGGATTATTAGTAGCATTATTTTCCAAATAAAATTAGTACGCCACTGTTTTTTTTTCGAAACGCGCAATTTTTCGAAATTTACCTTCAATTTGCTACAAATAGTTCCTCTTGTGTTTTTTCTAGGGTGCACTTTTCTGGTAAAAATGAAAATAAAACAAATTAGATCATTCATGAAGAGCCGAGGTACAATTAGTTTCAAAATAGGAGGCATTGATACCAACTTGACGTAAATAGTTTGTCAAAGGTATGTGTTATACGGTTGTTATCGTTACTACTATATGTTTTTTTTTGTAAAAGTCAAGTCCAAAGGTTCTTTCTTCCGTTTTTGAGTGTTGTGAAATGAAATTTAGCAATGATGAGTACGCCGGTATTATTTTTGTGTACGGGTTCTGTAATGGAAATTCCTTAGCAGGTTCTCGGGGGTATCAACGTAGATATCCTACCCCAAACGTTTTTACGCGTTTATTGCCAAACTTCCCGGAGTTAGAGGCCATGGTGTCCGACATACCGTTCAAGAGGAACTGGCAGTGATTAATTTGGCGTTGGATGATCCTAGTACAAGTACTAGGTGGATTGCAGCCCAGTCTTGCGTAGGGAATTTTAAATCAGGAAGTTTTACATACTTACCATCGGCAAAATGTGCAATGACTGCAACCAGGCGACGAGGTGCAACGGCAAAATTTTTGTCAGTAGTTACCGAAATACATAATCAAAATGCAGATTTTTTTGATTTGGTTTTGTGGCCAGATGAATCGCTTTTTACGAGGAGCAGAACCTTTAATTCTCATAATGAACATACAGTGGAATCAACTTATAATGAACTTGCTTATAATGGAAACCCGTATATAATGGACACGATTTACAGTCCTATAAATAATTGCATGTAAAATCCTCCGATATTATAGACTTTAATCCATTATATGCGAGCTATTTTGGTAGTTCCCCGAAGCAGATTTAGCTGATGCAATCGTTTACGGCGGTTTGGCTTCGCAGTTTGCATTCGAACTTGGCCACCAGAGTTATATTGTATTTATTAGAGTTATAAACATGTCTAAAAGTGAGAAATGTGCATTCACTTTACACGAAAAGTTCACAATAATTAGTGAGCTTGCGCAGGGTTCATCTCAAGCAAATATATGTGCTCGTATGGCTATAAAAAAATCCACTGTCAAATATTTGGAAAAACCTTGAGAAAATCAAAAATGACTGGACATCAAATAGTCAAAAGAAAAAAATGCGGCTATCGCTGCATCCCCAAGTCGATGATATGCTGTTTAAATGGTTTCAACAAAAGCGTGCTAATAATTTTCCAATAAGTGGACCTATGCTACAAACAAAGGCTGAAGAATTTGGGAAATTGATTGGAGATTACTTCAAATGTAGTTCTGGTTAGCTAGACAGGTTTAAGAAAAGACATAACATTGTTTTGGAAAAAATGCGTGGTGAGTGAGCTTCAGTTGACAAGAACGTTACCAATGACTGGATTTTTCAAGTTTGGCCCGTAATATCCAGTGATTATTCAGATGATAACATATTCAATGCGGATGAAACGGGATATTTTATAAAATGCTACCAGATAAAACTCATAAATTAAAAGGTGAAACTTGCAATGGAGGGAAACTATCAAAAGAGCCAATAACTGTTATGATTTGTGCTAATGCTTCTGGTATTGAAAAACGGAAACTATTGATAATAGGTAAGTGAATGTATAGAAATTCATGTTCTAATTTTTTGACGTTCAATGGCAGTGCTGTAAAGTATTTATGACCTTTTTTTTATTTCAGGGAAATTTAAGAATTCCTGGTGTTTCAAAAATGTTAAAACAATTCCCGTCGATTATGTTGGGAATAATAAAGCTTGGATGACTTCATTAAATTTTGAAGAATATTTAAAAAAGTTGGACGCTGAACTTGTCAAAAAAAATCGTAAAATTTTGCTCTTGGTCCATAACTGCCCCCCCCCCCCAAATATTTCACTTAATAACGTTAACCTTCAATTTTCTCCACCCAATGTGACATCAGTTCTGCAACCAATATACCTGTATGTTAATGAAAATTATGGAGCTTCAAGAAGATGTGAACATTATCAAAGCTGTCACCCTTTTAGATGCTATAAATTTGCTTACTATTGCATGGGAATTGGTTACTCCAGAAACGCTTCGTAATTGTGCTGATTTAGTGAAAAGCATAACTGAAATAGTCAACGATTTTAATCCAGAAGATGAAATTCCATCAAGTCATTTACTGAAAATTAATAGTTTACTGAATATAGACAAATTCAATGAGTATGTAAATGTTGACAATAATTTAATAGTAACAGAGGGATTCTCAGACTCGAATTTGGTTAATTAAGGATCCGTTGATAACGAACAGGAATACGAACTAGAAAACAACGATGAAGAAGTGACAACTGTGGAGGCATTAGACTGCGTGAAAAAGTTGCAACGTTATTTTCAGCAAGAAGAAGACAGTCCAGCCCACACTTACCAAATAAATAAAATTCAACTTGCTGTTCTAAATAATTATACACACAATCTGTTCAAATGAAAATTACTAGCTTTTTTACCAAATAATTTACGGTTTTTACACATACCTGCACAGTACGTATGCCTTTACCTAATATGTGTATCAGATTCTGAAAAAATGCAAATTTCAAAATACGTATGACTTTGTTTATCTATCTGATTTACAAACAACACACTTTAAGCTTTTAATATGTTATTTCTGCTGCTTTTTTCATTAAAAAAAGTGTTTCTTGTAAGATGGTCATCCGCCTATAAGGTACAGCGGGGCAAGTGTGACCCAAAATTTCACATAGTTCAACTTTTCGCGTTGTATTTCCTATTTTTAATTATGATATTCACTGAAATTTTGAGAGTATAGTCTTAAGTATATGTAGAAACGAAATCTACAAACACAAAACAAAATCAGTATAGATTTTTTTCTAGAAATTATTTTTTTCATGTTAGAATAATGGTTTACACTTCCCCACCAAATTGGGGCAAGTGTAAATACGCTGTCTGAATTACTACAAAAGTGTTGAGACTTGATTGGGGCTAGTGTAAATAAAGAAGAGACTAAATATAATCAGATTTTTTTACTAGGAAAAATCACTTAGGATATATTTTGCTCAATGTGATGTTGAAATGGAAGTGTCCTCTTCTGTGAATATATGGGGCAGGCAAACAGTGTTGTATTTCATCTCTTCTTATAACTGAGACATCTGGAGTATCTGGCCAATGAATTGTAATGAAGATCCCGAGCGTCTTGCAAATTTTGCTTCTAAACATGGCTCTACTTCTGTTACTTGCCTACCTAAAATTTAAATGATTTTTTAGTAGCAAATTTTTACTAGAATCCAGTCCCCTATTTTCAGTTCTTTCTCCAGGTATTTCACGAATTCTTCTCTTCTTCACGCAAATCATTTTACTCAACTCGTCTAATCAAAATCATC